AGGACAACGGAAGTTTTAATACGTATGTAAAATTTATTTTTTAAGTTAGATGCTGCAGCTTTAAACAGAGGTTCGGTGTGAGAGTCACTACCAGGTGGAGCAGAAGCGAAGCTCCGTCTGTGAAATATTGCTATCTGTAGCGTAGCAGCGGTTCAACAGGAGAGCAGAACCAGCGTCTTACATCGCAGCACGAAGACAAATAATTTTGCGGGTTATTTGTTTAGTTTTCTGACCGTCATGCTAATCCGGGTGAGTGTTTGTAGCTGTGCGCTGCTTTACCTGCTATCTGATGGTCCGTATGTCTTTTTTACTGCAGTGAGCCTCGATGTAGCCAAACTCCATCAAGCATGGCATTGTTTTTATGTTATTAGCTTCGTTGTGTTGATGCATTTTGACGCGCTTCAATTTTCCGCCGCAACAAGCAAACTTCCCCATTCACTCAGTGCGTTATAGTTCCACATGGCTTAGGATTTGTTGCTGCGCGTTTGTGCAGAGTGAAGGAAAGAGGAGACCAGCTGCACAAGCAGGCTGGGAAATGAGATGCAGGTGATCAGTTTGTGTGATCGGCGATTACCGATCATACACTTTTTCACGAAAATCGGCCGATTATGATCGGTGGCCGATCGATCGGCAGACGTCTAGTTCCTGCTGTATGAATTCTGCATCAATGTGGCGCAGCATAAGCTAATGCTGCTCTCATGCAGAGACTCCTTACTTTCCCAGGTCCTCACAGCTTTTAAAATAAAATAATTTTACTCACCTCCTTTGTATTCATTAATGGCCTCTGATAAGGCGTCTATTGACTCAATGTCCAAATTATTAGTAGGTTCATCCTAAAAAAACAAAAAAACAAATAATATTTTGACTTCATTCAGAACTACAACCAAATAAATAAATAAATAAATAAATAAATAAATAAATAAATCCTAATTCAATTGTGAACACCATAAGTTCAGGTGGTGAGGCTAAGGATGTCTTTGGGACATTAACTAAAAATGCAAAATGTCCCAAAATAAAGGCAAGTTTCTACTACTGACTACAGCCCCTTCCACATCATCCTAAGTCATCTGCTGAGGTCGGGGGTCACATGCAGGGTTTCCCCCAGAAAACCTGCTGACTTTGTGGTAGGGTGCTCCACCAGCGCTCCACTTTGTGTTAAAAGTTGGCAAGAAATTGAAAATATGACAATTATTTCTTTATTAGATGACATTTACAATACATTAACTACAAAGTCTTAAAAATGCAAAGAAAACATGCAATTAAAATTAATATTTTTGTACATGAGTTAATTCTTAATTATAAAATTCAAGTATTTGTTATGTTAAGTTTCCAGTGTTTTCCTAAATGCTGCTATTTTGTTTAGGAATGTCTCGTAATTGGTGCAGTGTTTTGATTCTCTGGTCATGGTTGGCTGTTAGTTATCCAAGTAAATGCAATATTTGCAAGCAATACTCTGACTGAAAAGGATTGGCCTGAGATCGGCTGGAGGTGTGATTCAAATGATCATACACTTTATGAAGTTACATAACAGACACAATAAAATTGCATGATCCCCAGGACTGAACTTTGTGTGGATTTTCTGTTATAATAAAGTTTTACAGGTTCAAGTCTCCGCCAGCTACGTTTTATGCACCCTGACTGTATAAATATCCTTATTAAGTGTTTTGGAAGCAAAGTGAATTTGGCCCATAATACCGTCTGAGTGGAATTTCATCTAATAACTCAGAGTAGATTCTCATGATTCTCTCTTCTAATTAAGTTCTCCTCTCATCACTGCTTGAACTAGGCCACATGTTAATGGTAGATTTCAATAGGGCCATTGATACTTTGATGACTAGACAGGAAGCAGCTCTTACCAAGATAAGCACATCTGGCTGACGACAAGCCAACTCTGAAAACACAACTCTGGCTTTCTGGCCGCCTGTTGGGAGGAAATGCAGAGGGGATTAAAATTGGCTCCTCTTAAACAAATGGGCAAGTGGCAGCTGCTTAGGTCCATACCAGAGAGTTTGGAGATCTGAATGGTGTGTGCATGACTTTCAAGGCCAAAGCGACCCAGGCACTTCCTGCTATCCTGGTAGGGCAGGTTGAAGTTTCTCATTAAGTACTCTGTTGCTGTCTCCTCCATGTTCAGTTGATCAGCATACTGCTGATTAAAGAAACCCACTTTCTGTTGGAGACAAAAACATGAAGGGGTCAGCAGGTGGGACACAAGCAAGGAACACAGGGACATTAGCACCAACAAAAACATTTAAACTTCAGAACATTTAAAATAAGCTCAGAACAATACATTAAATGAATATTCTCTTATCTGCCTCACTACACCAAGCTTTAACTGACTGTCACAGCTCCAGGGTTAGTGCTTAAAATTCCAGTTCAGGGATTTATTTTTCTTGCAGCTTGCATGTTGTTCACTAGAAATGTCCCCTTTTCTCAGAGTTAACTTGGTTCTTTCCACAGAGCAAAACATGTGCATTAACTCATAGTGGACTGATGTCTGGTGACCAGTGACCTTTGACCTGTGAACAAGGTTCCTTCCTCTTGCCTACCAGCTTAAATGTGCATATTGGCCCGGTCCCAATACTTACAGTGCACTCTACAGTGCTCTATGAAGCATGTACTCAATTAAAGTGAACATAAGAGTTTGAATGTACAGATTACATCCAAACATTTTAGAATTGAAACAGTACACCTCTGTGTTGCAACTTCGACACAGTTTAGGCATTTGTGCTGCTAAAAAGTACAGTAAAGGCTACTTTTTAGCATTTCTGTAAAAAATTCTGCTTTTTACAATATACGTATTTTTACTGGAGATATTTGGCTGTTAAAATGTGTTTTGCTATGACTTGTTGATTACAGAGCAAAATTCAATGTATTCACACATGTTGGGTGAAACAAAAAAATAGTTCAATATTTTACATTTGAAAACTGATAGTTTTGTTTTTGTTTGCGACAAACACAGCTTACAAGTCATCATACAATAAAAAGTTGTCATCTTGAAAATATGGGAGCTTTTGTATGGTGACTTGTCAAAATATGCACATTAAAATGTACTAACATTCAATTTAACAATTCCTCCTGCGATTTAATTAAAGACCTGATTACACATTCAGCTGTTACTAAAAAAAACATTTCTTTTATGCAGCTAAAAGTTAAATATAAAGTGGAGCTAATGTGCTAACAAAGATCAAGATAAGGACAAACATACAGCACATATTAAATAGAAAAAAAGCCTGATTGTGAAAAATAAAAAGACTAAAAAAGAATGAAACTAAATGTCCTTCTTTAAAGAAAATATGGATGTTGCGACATTATAGACCAAAAATGTTAAAAGACATTCATGAGGAACACTGACAGCAAGTATGTCCCCTTTACCCTGAGAAGAAAGCAATTGTTTAAAAATCATGATGATATCTCTAGCGAAAATAAGAACCAAAAACCTTTCTATTACAGTTCACCAAAAAATGTAATTAATTTCATAATTATGTATGAAGTTTTCCCTGTAATGACTTTCCGCAAAATAAAATAAAATCAAGATAAATATCAATTCCTGTGCTAAGATTTTGAGACAACACATCTTTTTTCAGATGCAACTTCATTAATGTTTTTAGAAAGATTGTTAAAACTCGATCTTGTACAAGAAATCTATTCTGCTTTTAAGTTTTAATGGAATAAAATTTGGTCTTCTAACAGGGGATGAAGAGTTAAATTATGATATCAATGATTTAATCCTCTGGCTAACTTTTATTCACAAATACTGCTTTCTAAAATTCACCTCAATTTTTAATATTTTCAAAGTGAAATAATTTTATTTAGGAAAGTGCTTAAACGCTACAACAATACAAAAGCCCAATCTTTATTTTAATAGCTTCATTGAAGATTTGAAATTCATCTACCATTTGAAACATTTTCTGTTGACTTTTCTCAGTTAGTGACTCTTCTTTTTATCCCTTCTTTTTTTTGCTCAGTTTATCATATCAAACTTTTTTTGTTACTAATGTGTGCCTTGTCATACTATTTTCTTGAATTTTTAATAATGACAAAATTGCCATGTAATTGCTTGTAATTGAAAACGTCACATGCAGGGATGAATTGTGAGTAACCCACTTTGCCAAATCCGCCTAGATGCGGGCTTAGCAGAAGTGTGGAAATAGGACCCAAAATGGGTGGGGCGAAGGCTGGATGGAGAGAATGTGGGACACACTGCACTCTCAAACCCTTCAACATGAGCACATTTGAAGGACCTTCATGTTGGGCAGAACAAGGGTGGAAGTGCGAGTATTGGGACTGGGCCTTTTTGCGTTTGCATTTATGTTACTCACCAAGCGGTGATTCTTCCTCATTTCACCCTTAATCTGTAAAAGAAAAAGTCTTCTGTTATATAGGAGTATAATTTAAAAGAGGAATTTCATGTATGTGGTCTTACAGGATTTAATTTTCCTGTGAGGAGCAGTAGCAGAGTACTCTTCCCAACACCATTGGGTCCCACGATGCAAACTAATGGAGAAATGTGGGGAAAAGTAAATAACAGAAGAAAAACTGATAATTCATACAAAGTCCCCAGCCTTTATAATGCTCAATGAAGACATAATTAGCACCAATATCTAAATATGAGTATTAACCATCTACTGTAGGATTTGGATACTCACTCCTGGAGTCCATGTCAATGCCAAAGTCCACGTTTTTGAAGAGAGGCTTCTGACCCTCGTAGCCAAAGTCAACACCTGTATATAGTAAAAACTAGTCACACAAATATCAACAGACATGACATGTAAGCACACATAAATAAACTTATTTTGTTTGTATGTTTAAATTCCTGATAGAAGGTTTGTAGATTTATGATTTTTTTTGTTACTCTGCTGATTAAACCTTAATCCAGGACAAGGTTTCAAAAATATTTAGCATAAAATAATATTCTTAAGATGTCCACAAAAAGCTAATATAAAGCCCTGCCTAGTTAAGGCTGACTGTTTTTGAAAGGTCATGTTTTTATGCTTAAAAAAAAAATACAATGGTTTCAAAACCCTTACAATTTTGTGTCTTGCCACCAGGGGGCATGCTGCTTTAATCTAACTCTAGTAGAAGGTCCGGTTGGGAGGTGTGAAACGAACTTCAATGGAGACAAAAAAAGCAAACTCTGGTCTGCCTTCAAATCTCAGCCTGGGTTCGGTTGAAATGAACTCTGCCACGGTTCAAATGCATACAAGGATGCAAGCGGACCGGGAGTAGACTACAGTGCAGCATAGACATAATTAAAGAATAGACCCCGCATTTTGTATATTTATATAAATATGTATGGACGGCTGTGTTCTTTGTAAAATGCTCATCATACATTTTTCTGCTCTGTCTTTCGAAGGAGGATGATGCACTTTCTCTGTCTCCCTGCCCTCCCTATCTTCCCTGCTCAGCGTCTGTGTCCTGAGTTTTTAGAGTCTTCTTTGCATAGCTTCCGAAGTTGCAAATTATGGATCTGGTCAGCTGGTCTCTCAACGCAATTGATAAAAAATTTTTCCACTGAGAAACCGGGTAAAGGGGAACCCTCATGACCCGACAGAACATTCTTCGCTGGATACACAATGGATTCTGGATGGAAGTGGAAGACCGTGTGTCTGACGAGGCTGTTAGTCGAGGATGTTGAAGATGTGTATATGATTGGATTTATGATAATAGGTTTTCTGCTTATTGGAGTTGGCGGCTACCTGGCTTATCAGAAATATTGGAAGATGCCGGCAGCCGTTTTGGCCACTTCGAGGCTGCCGGGTATGGTTGATGGGATCTGCAGAGTGATCAACATTCAGACTGAGATGATACGGGAGCTGAGCTGTAGACTGGGTGCGATCCTCGAACAGGACCGTGGCCGGGCAGCGGATCTCGGACTCAGAATGGATATGGTGTGACCTTGGAGAACGTTGTTCGCTCGGATAAGGCGGGAGACCCTAAAATTTGGCTGTTTGGATTTGCCATTGAGAAGCACCAGCAAGACTTTAAAGGAAGGCAGTAAACTGATATCAGCCTGACCTAAACAAATTTCTGCTATCGGAATCTGGCTTCCCGGGCTGGCCTTGGCTGGCCAGCTATCCTCCCCTGGTTGTTATGTCTAAAGAAGGCTCTGTTCTGCTGCCCCTCCCCTCCCTGAGAACATCTGTGGTCCCTGAACTGATAAGCTGGTGGTGAACTCTGACATCATACTCATAGACAATCGCATCAGCTAGGGTTCAGGGTCTGACACACACATATCTCACATGAGACTCATATGCACATCACACCTCCTCCTCGTACCCGGGTTGTTTTGTCTATATGTGTTTATATGTGCTTATGTGCTTAGGTTTATTTCTTCATCTCAAACTACCCTGCAAAGAGCAGAGTGTAAGACAGGCTGTTTTTTTTTCCCTCTCCTTACCTGATGTTTTTTCTTATTTTTCCCATTTCCTCTGCTAGGTGGCGCCTGTCGGGCTGCGAGGCCTCAGCCAACTATCCCCCCGTGTCCCTCTCCCCACCACTGTTGTGTAATAGATGGTTGTACTGGAACTGCAATTTTGTTGTCTTTCTGACAATGACAATAAAATTCTTCTGATTCTGATACATCAATATCAGAATATTGACAATAAAATTCTTCTGATTCTGATACATAAATATCAGAATATTCTATTCCTATTCTATTCTCTTTTCCCCACTAGGAATATTTAAATATGCTGAACCATCTATCAATACAATTCAAAAATACTTTAAAAATAAATGTTCTTGTACATATAACTTTGATAGCTGTCTGAATAAGGTTTCCAGTAAAAAATAAAAAGAAGTGTGCCGTGTTATTATTAATAACAATAAATGTCAGACATTATATTGGTTTTAATCAATATTATCTTAGCAGTATAAATGTAATTGTGTCTTCTTTTAATTAAAAGCAACTGGATCTGATTGATAATTTCAATTAAAATTTCTATGTTGATATCATGAAATCATTGTATTTTTTGTAAAGGATATAGCCCTTTGATATTCTCCTAGCAGCTTATGATTAGGCCAATAGCTTCATGTTTGCTGGCTACATATCTGTATTTTATCCAAACTGCAGACTCCAGCTGGATGTGGAGAAGTGTGCGGGTCACAGCAGATCTTACTGTGAAGGCCCAGGATGGGTGGCGAGAGTGGAGGAGGGTTGGGGAAGGTGAACTTCACAGTGTACTCCTTTGGCCTCTTGAGCAGCTCTGGAGCCTCCAGGCTCTCCTCCTCCTGAGGTCCCTTCTTTTTGCCCTTTTGCTGCTTCCTGGTCAGGGCCTCCTTGGTCTGTTTCTCCTGAAACATTGAAATCAGTCTGAATGAGCGTGGTTAACAATAATCACCCAACTGTGATTACAAAGTGGCTAAGTGCCAACTATATTTATCAATGCTTCAGACAGATTTAAAACGTATCAGCCAAAATCGTTATCAACAGGTCAGGCTTTCAAAGACAGTACTATCACGGGTAGTGAACTGAGAAAAACCTTTAGTACATTTGGTTAAGCTATCTTGTGTTCCTCCATTGTGTTATATTGCAATGCACTAAATGTTTCCTGTGTGGTGAGGAAATCACTGTAGATTCAAATTAGTTGTAATTTGCACCACACCTGATGTGATTTTGTGTCACAGTGTGGGAAGACAGCCATACTCACAGCCTGCTTGGTGGACTTGCCTCCAGCCTTCAGCTCTTTGAGTTTCTTCTCCTGTTTGTCATACTGCTTCTGCAGCTCCTTCTGCTTCTGCACGTACATTTTCTTGAAGGTCACTTAAAACACAGAGGGAATCAAATATTTGAGGGACGTATTCTTTGCCAGGTGTTCATTTAATGAAAGTAACTCAACACCCCTACCAACAACCTTCTCCGGTTTTCCAAACATTTTTTCCATTTCTGCATGTTATCACCAGAGTACTGCAGTCCTACAGCAGCTCTTTCTCTTCCAGAACATCAGTTTATCACAGCATTCAATGACAATGAAGGAGCAGCACTAAAATGTTCCAGTGCTGTACAAACTACTCACTACATTCAGGAGCTTTCAGATAAAAACAAGAAACTAATATAGCAGAAAGCTTGCGTGATACTTACAATAGTTTCCTCTATAATAGTAGAGTTTTTGGTTGTCTAGGTGGATTATATCAGTACACACATCGTCGAGAAAACTCTGGTCATGGGACACGATGAGGAGAGTCTTCTTCCAGCTTTGAAGGTAGCTGTAAGTTGATTTGCAGGGGGAAAAAAATCTAGAGTTTTCATACTATTCAGAGCACAAAAAGTCAAAGAAAAAAACATTATCACAGTGGGAAGCTAATCAGAACTAAAAATGCAAAACATTTTTGCATATTTATCTACTGTATAATAGTAGATCAGTTATACAGAAAAAATGTTGCCCTATTTCCTCAGAGGAAATTTTGATTTATTGTGTTGTTAGGATTTAAATCTAAATTAATAATCCCCAAACAGCGAGCACCATGCAAAAATATACATACCATCTGAACTTCTGACATGTAGTGATTTTACAACCACAATGTATTTTAATGGGGTTTTATCTGACAGACAAACATAAAGTGGAACATAATGTTGAAATAGAAACAAAATACTTAGCTTCAAAAAATATTCACAAACAAAAATGGTCCTTGTATTCAGACTATTTTAAAGCCCAGAGGAACCCGAGATGCACTGATCTGATATATCCGCATCACTCCTGATATTTAAAAAACAAATTCTAGGTTGGATATCAATGACTATTAACAATCCATAAGGGAAGATCTATTTGGTCTAATTCTATGCCCTAAGTGCTTTACTTTTTATTTTATACTAAATTTAGAATTCTTAATAGCACTTTCTGAACCATTTGACAGAGGGTTTGTTGCCGTTTATTTTTACATTTGACCAAAGCCGTCAACCCGTTGTTTTGGCAAGTTTCAGTCTGTTATTTATTTATTGGCTGTTTTACTTCTAGCTTCATTGACTGGGCAATTTAAAGTTGTTTTACATGTTTGACCCACCTACAATGCACAGCCAGAGGTGCAATGGAATGGTCTAAATTAATAAAATGACCTAGTCAAAGTACAAAAATACACTGATTTGAGAACCTGTGACAGCACTCAAACACTGATGTTCAGTCACTTATTAAATCAAGTATTCACAACAGGGGGCGTCATTTAAAGGCACATCACACTCCAGATGTTTTGGGGGACAAAAATAAGAAAAGATAGAGGGCTTTCCATTTTTTCTCCCAAAAGTATAGAGAGTGTGTTGAATCCCAGTAGGGAGTCGATCTTCCATTTGAGTGCATATTCCCTATTCTTCCACTTCACTGCTATGACTCATTTTAGAACCTCTAAAAATGAGTGCTTGTTGAAGGGGTATGAAGACTTTTGCTTCCTGTCGATAGTCTGAGTGTTATTATCTGGTATGAATGAAAGCTTTCAGTACTTGTTCAGCCAGATGACAGCATTCAGGTCCAGGTGGTTGGTGGGCTCATCCAGCATCAGCAGGGTGGGCTCCATGAACAGGGCTCTGCACGCACGCACGCACGCACATTAACAGGAGTTAAAAACAGAGTAGCATGATGTGGAGATCAGAGTGCAGGTGGATGATAGAGAGCTAAAAGTTTTATTGCAATATTTTGTGGTACTACTATGATAACAATAAACGTGACAATAGTAATTATCTCTTTTCTTAAGTAACAGCATGAATGTGAAAACATAACACAATTCTTTAAGACACCAGTCACATCAAGAATGATTTCTATCACTAGACTGGACATGCTAGCTGGATTTAATCATATTTTCAAATTTATTGATATTTGTTGATACTCTCTATGAACAAACAGTAAAGATAATACCGACGGTACAAATGTTTTTGGGGGCTATTTAAACATTAATTTTAATTCATAAATCAAAATTGTTATCATGACTAAAGTTTTTCATGATGAATGATAAACAATACAATAAATGCCCACCCCTAGATTGAGCATACCTAGCAAGGGAAACTCTCATCCTCCATCCTCCTGAGAAACGCTTGGTGGCTCTGTTCTGCATTTCAGGGGTAAACGACAGACCGGCCAGGATCCGCCTGGCCTTGGCCTCCGCTGCTGCAGCTCCAATCACTCTCAGCTCTTCGTACACCTGGCAAGGAGGAGAAGCACTTTTGTCAAGAACATTTGTCACTTTTTAACCACCATGCTCTTTAAATGCTCATAAATAATCCCCATAAAAAACTAAAGTACAGCCTCAGAAAAAAATGATTTTAATCATCGGAGCTGTCTGGTTGGATCTGTGTCATTTCTCTACACAGAGAGATAACAGCTTTCATTAAAAGCTCTTTATGTTAGAAACCTGCATGTTGACAGCTGGTGGACACTCAGCCCTTCTCTTACAAGATGGAAAGTGTCATCAGTGTGACAGAATATTATTTTGTGAGCATTTCAATGCAGCTTTCTGTGTCAGTAAAGTAAAATGACTCTGGTTTAATCCCAGTTGAACTGTCTGATAGAGTTGCTGATGACATTTGCTTAGGATTTCCAGCAGTTCCCTAAGAAAAGCCCGTTTCCATGGTAAAGTGTGCCCCGGCTCTGTGCTGATGAGGTGCGGTGTGGACTCAGCTGCAGCCAGAGCCGCAGCAGAACGTCAGGGAAACGCTGTGGTGTGTGAATGCTGAGGCAGCAGCACTGTTACTGTGAGGCTCAGCAGTGAGAAAAGCAGCCCAGAGGTCAGGCTCACCTTCTCCAGCCTCTGGGCCACGCTGTCCTCTCCCTTCTCCAGACGAGCCTGGAGCATCTTCTCCTCATCTAGAAGCTTCAGACGGCGGGTGTCAGCTTTCAGCACAGCTTGCACTGCCGGGGTGTCATCAGCTATCACCTCTATCCAAGACACACACACAGTCAGCGGGCCCCAAACAGGTTCAGGAAGGAGTAAAACATTAACAGTTCACTTACCCTGTTCACACAGCAACACGTCGATGTTGGGGGGGATACTGAGAGCTCTGTTTGCTATGTGTTTTAGTAAAGTGGTCTTTCCTTTGCTAGAAGACAAAATGAAAACAAGATGGTCCTGAATGACATAACTGACTGAATCTTAACACACAGAACTCTAACAACTGGTAAACACATGAAAACCTGACATAATTAAGGTAGAAATCCTACAAAACATAACAATAAAAACGCTTAGTGATCAACCATTAGTTTCACTGTCTTCAGCTTTAAACACATCAACTCCATAATAATTTTAGATATTCAGCAATAAACTAAACATGCAGCATTTAAGGAAACAAATTAGAAAATAACTCATTATAGTAGAGCCGAAAAAGGACCTCAGAAGTTTCCTGAAGAGAATGTTCAACATTTTTCTAACTTTTTGGGTCAAATGTTGCAAGTGGACAGAAAGTGGACTGCAGTGCAGGGCATTCTGGGTAAATACAACTAAAACAAACGTGCAAATCTAGAGCTAGAAATGGCTTGTAATCTTTCACCAAAGACAAAAGAGAAAGCTACAATTACTAAAGTCTGATGCTACTCCATTTTTGTTTGCATTTTGTGAAGAAAGAACTTGAGCTCATGTCTTCTTCTGAGGATTATATCTTGGTACCTTCAGTAGTTCCTGGTGCAGCGCCCCCACAGGCGAGGGTACTGCACTGTGATTAGTTTCGATCATTTAAGTCAGTGCAGTGTGAAAACAAACTGCTGCAGCTAAGAATACAGCAAATGTGGCAATTTTGGTCCCCAATCAAACTGAGTCTACTAGACTATAAGGTGTGAATAATAACAATATCAATAAAATATTTTATTTTATTGTATTAGTAAACTTATCTGTGAATTTGAACTTTTTAAATTTGAAAATACCCTAAGACATTAAAATGAATTAAAGCTGCAAGCAGTGTTCGAGGCCCTCGCAGCAAAGCGCACTGAAGGCCTATTGGCGACCGCGGGGTTTCCAGCACCGCCATGCTCTCGCCACCGCCGACGCTCTCGCGCAGTTTCCGCACCCGTCCGCCAGGCGACACACACCGATGTCTTCCTCGGCGCTCCCTGACGACGCACAACCCCAGCAGAACAGATTTGCAATTTAAAACTATTGGGCTCTTTAGAGGCTAACAAAGGTCAAGCCTGACAAGTTT